ATTTTTTTTTTTTTTTTCAATGAATTGTTTAATTTAAATGAATTGATTGATTTATTAATTTACACTACTAGTCAAAAGTTTGGAATAATTCATTTTTTTTATGTTTTTGAAAGTCTCTTATGCTCATCAAGGCTGCATTTATTTGTTGGAAAATACAGTGAAACACTAATATTGTAAAATATTATTATATTTTAATATATTTCATTAAAATGTAATTTATCCCTGTGATGGCAAAGCTGAATTTTCAGCATCATTACTCCAGTCTTCAGTGTCACATGATCCTTCAGAAATCATTCTTATATGCTGATTTGCTGCTCAAGAAACATTTATTATTATCAGTGTTGAAAACAGTTTTTGCTACATAATATTTTTGAGGAAATCAAGATACACTACCCTTCAAAGGTTTGGGGTAAATATGTGTTTTCTTTAAAAATTGACAGTAAAGACATTTAAAACGTTACAATTAGAATTTATAATGATTTCTGTTTCAAATAAGTGCTGTTCTTCTGAAACTTCTATTCATCGTAGAATCTTGGAAAAAATGTATGACAGTTTTCACAAAACTATAAGCAGCAAAAACTGTTTTCAACATTGATAATCATAAGAACCATTATTAATAATGGAGCACCAAATCAGCATATTAGAATGATTTCTGAAGGATCATGACACTGAAGACTAACGTAATGGGTGCTAAAAATTCAGCTTTACCATCACAGGAATAAATTACATTTGAAAATCTATTGAAAACAGAAAACAGTTATTTCAAAATGTAATACTTCACAGAATGTTTAATAAAATAAGTCTAAATAAACGATCATAAGTAATTTTTTTTTCAAAAAGATTTTAAAAAAAATCTAAAAGAATACAAACTTTTGACCAGTAGTGTAAATATCTATTTAATGATTAGTTTATCTTATTTAATTTTAAAGTTAATTTTAATGACTTGTACTGACTAAGGGCACTGTAGTAGGTCGTTTGAAAGCCTGTTTTGCTGCTCAAGAAACATTTATTATTATCAGTGTTGAAAACAGTTTTTGCTACATAATATTTTTGAGGAAATCAAGATACACTACCCTTCAAAGGTTTGGGGTAAATATGTGTTTTCTTTAAAAATTGACAGTAAAGACATTTAAAACGTTACAATTAGAATTTATAATGATTTCTGTTTCAAATAAGTGCTGTTCTTCTGAAACTTCTATTCATCGTAGAATCTTGGAAAAAATGTATGACAGTTTTCACAAAACTATAAGCAGCAAAAACTGTTTTCAACATTGATAATCATAAGAACCATTATTAATAATGGAGCACCAAATCAGCATATTAGAATGATTTCTGAAGGATCATGACACTGAAGACTAACGTAATGGGTGCTAAAAATTCAGCTTTACCATCACAGGAATAAATTACATTTGAAAATCTATTGAAAACAGAAAACAGTTATTTCAAAATGTAATACTTCACAGAATGTTTAATAAAATAAGTCTAAATAAACGATCATAAGTAATTTTTTTTTCAAAAAGATTTTAAAAAAAATCTAAAAGAATACAAACTTTTGACCAGTAGTGTAAATATCTATTTAATGATTAGTTTATCTTATTTAATTTTAAAGTTAATTTTAATGACTTGTACTGACTAAGGGCACTGTAGTAGGTCGTTTGAAAGCCTGTTTGAGTGGTGAGTGATTTGTTGTGTGTTGTTTTTGTGAAGGAGGGAAAATCCCCATGATGCAGTGGTGCTTCATCCAAAGAATGCTGGACTTATCCTCAACAGCTTGCCAGAGAAGAGGTGAGCTCTGTGTTTTTAACAATCTTCTCATGCCAAATAAAAGTAAAGGCATCTATCCTCCAGAATTTGATTGATGACCCAGTAATCAAGGGAGATCAGTGTTTTTCATGGTGATAGAATTTAATTGAAAATCTACATTCTGCCATAGATGTTGTGTTTTGACAGCTATATGCACTTATGTAACCAAAGCTGTCAGAAACATTTTGAAACCTCTCTTTCTTTCTTTTTTTCCAGTGTGATTGGCACAAGTTCACTTCGCAGAGCAGCTCAGCTAAAGAAACGATTCCCTCAACTGGAGTTTGAAAATATTGTATCCTGCACTTTCCTGTTGCGTCTGTGGATGTTTATACATTGTTAATGGCAGCAGCTTTAAAGCAAAGCAAAGCAAGCACATATTTCCTGGGTATTTGTTACACCAGCAAGTTTCCCTATATTGTATATAGCGTTTTACCGGTACTAGAGTCTTCCTCCTTGACCTTACTGCTATAGAGAGGAAACCTAAACACCCGTCTGAAGAAGCTGGATGAAAAGGACGACTATGCTGCCATTATTCTGGCCGCAGCAGGCCTCAAACGTATGGGCTGGGAAAGCCGAATCAGTCAGGTATGTTAAAGGCACAATGTAAGAGAAGAAGCGACAGATCTTTTCTTTTGTGCTATGACGTACATCTGAGGATTATCAAAAAATGTAGGGAATGGACTTGGTTCTGTCCATCAGTTGTTGATTCGATGGAGGCAGATTCTGCTATTCCAGCCGCTATTCTGAATATGAAGGTCTCTGGTGACTACAGCAGTGTTTATAGATGCATTTATAGTAGCTGTTCTGTAAATTGCAGATTCTGGACCCTGAAGATTGCATGTATGCAGTTGGCCAGGTAAGTGTGCAAGCATGCACAACCAATTCATGAGCTTTGAAATTGCATGAGGATTAAAATAGTAGTAAATATTTTCCAGTATTTATACCCGTCATGCTTTGTACTTATTGTGTTGTTCATGCGAGAAAAGAAGCAGCTGCAGGCTCAACTGTTAATGCACATTATAAACACTAAAGGAAACACCTGTGTAACAATTTGTTAACGGTTGCAGCCATAAAAGTGGACTTATTTTGGTATATATTGCATGCAGGGTTTCTGCAGGTTTTATGAAGGTAAATTTAAGACTTTTTGAGACCTTTTTAAGACCAAGTAAAGAAAATATAAGGAATAAATTGAATGGAGCACAGTAGGTCAATATGGTCTCTAAACGTAAATGTCTTGTATAAGCAATGATTCAATGTTTGAAAATACAGCTTCCATCTCCATTACGTTTTAATAAAAAAAAAAAAAAAAAAAAAAAAAATTAAGGCTTGATTGATTGTGTGGAAGGGTGAATTAATATGAACATGAACATAGAACATAATGTATTTGTGATCAGACTGCTGTGAAGCCACTGCATGCTCTGTATTAGCCTGCAGTAAATGTTAAATAAACAAAAATGTGTCTTATCATCAGGGAGCACTGGCAGTGGAAATCAGAGCACAAGATAAAGACATTCTGGAAATGGTGTCTGTCCTGCACCATCCAGACACAGTGCTGCGGTGTGTCTCAGAGAGAGCTTTTCTCAAAGAGCTGGTGGGTTTCCTTACATGCACATGAACTCAGCTCTCATTGCCTGTGGTTCATATCAGTTTGACCTTATCCTGAGGGCATTCTATGTAGTCCAACACCGTTTTATGATTTTAATGCTGCTCTTCACTTTTTCTGCTTTCAGGAAGGAGGCTGCAGCGTGCCTGTTGCTGTTCATACAGAAGTGAAAGGGTCCATGGTGAAGAGACAAAAAATAACTATATTTTCAGGCATTCAGTGGCATGTTACGATGCTACTTCACCCAATACAAATCTGAATAAGTGTTGTTGATGTTCGTATAGCATAGACTAAATTATCTTTTTTTTCTGGTTTCAGCTGTATTTCACTGGAGCAGTTTATAGTTTGGATGGAGCTGATTGCTTGAAGGACACTATGCAGACGGTTGTGGAAATAGACAAAGTGAGGATCAAATATAACCTCTATATATATACTACTGTTTAAAGGTTTGGGGTCAGTAAGATTTTTTTTTATTAGAAAGGATGCATTATATTGATCAGTGACAGTAAAGACATGGTTACAAAAAGTTTCAAATAAATGCATTTTGAACTTTCTATTAATCAAAGAATCATGAAAAAGCACCAAATCGGCATATTAGATTTTCTGAAAGATTGTGTGACACTGAAGACTGGAGTAATGACTGCTGAAAATTCAGCTCCTAAGATATATTAAAATAGAAAAGTTATTTTAAATTGTAATATTTCACATGATTACTGTTTTACTGTATTTTTGATCAAATAAATGCAGCCTTGGTGAGCATGAGTTTTCTTTCAAAACAAAAAAAATCTTAACCACAAACTTTTGAATGTCAGTGTAGTTACAATTTTACAGCATTATCTATAATTTACAATATTATAACCTTTATTCCAACTCATTTCTATCAGGTGAATGAGAGTGCACAGGAGTGCGTACATGTTGGAGTCACTGCCAACAATGTATCATCATCAGCCCTCGAAGCTGCTGAGAAACTGGGGATGGATCTGGCAAATGCTCTCCTTAATAGGGGGGCCAAAGACATTCTCACAGCAGCCAGGCAACTAAATGATGCTCAATAGCTGATTTTTTACATTTTGTGCACTGGAATATTAGACCTAGAACGTTTGACATGCCGTTAACTTGGATAAACCGTACACTCAACCATATGCTCTATAGCTGAATCTCCAGAGCTTAAATACAACCTTTATTGGCTGTATGTATATATATATATATCAGTGTATTTAAAAACAACCAACAGGTTACTTCAGATACTATACCTCAGTGCCTCAGTTTAACAATGTGATGGCACCAATTTTTCTCTCAGCTTCTGGTTCGTACACAAGACACGGACATTTGTACTGTTTTGACTGCCATCGTCTCCTCAGGCACAGGATTCTGGAAGAGAATTTATGCTGATAGTCTTCCACTTCTAATGATGGCAGGCTACCTTCTTTATCTATGAACCACTTGAAAATGAGGAGACAAATGGCAACCTTTTACATCTGGCCATGATTTTAATCACGAATTGAGTATATTTTATCTTTATGTACCTCACAAAATATGGCTTTAAAAAAAAAAATGTAACGGCATATCCTCAGTCTTAAAACTATGATGCCTTTTATCAATGCAGATATTAATTAACCAGAATGAGTCCAAAGTTTTTAACAAAATGGATAAAGAAAAAAAAAAAATGTTGGTTATAAAGTTTTATATTTAGAATATATATATATATACACACACACACTATATGGTTTGAATACCACAATGTGCCTTTTAAACCTGATTAAATTACCCAACTTGTTTGACCTGCAATGTTTATTTCTACAATTACAATCATTAAAAGTATTAAAACCCACCGTTGTTCACCTTTTTACCCCCTTGATCACGCGGAATAAAGTTACCGGTTTATATCAGAACAAAACAGAAAACTTAAAAATGTAAGTTTAATAAGTATAAAGGCTCAATACAGACTAACTTTAGACAATTCAGACACATGGAATTTGCTCTCTTCAGAATAAATGAGTGGCCCTTAAAAGGGCCTTTAGGTGCATTAACTCAGTTCAGCATCGCTCTCAATACTCCTGTGACTGGGAAGATCCCTTCTTTCCCGATTTACCGGAGCTCTGAACAGCTTGGCCAGTTTTCTTGGGCAGGAGCACGGCCTGGATGTTGGGCAGAACACCACCCTGGGCGATGGTCACTCCGCCGAGCAGTTTGTTCAGCTCCTCGTCGTTACGGACGGCCAGCTGAAGATGGCGAGGGATGATGCGGGACTTCTTGTTGTCTCTCGCAGCGTTTCCCGCCAACTCGAGGATCTCAGCGGTGAGGTACTCGAGAACGGCAGCCAGGTACACAGGAGCACCAGCACCTACTCTCTCTGCATAGTTGCCTTTACGCAGGAGACGATGCACACGGCCGACGGGGAACTGAAGACCTGCACGGGAGCTGCGAGTCTTAGCTTTAGCGCGGGCTTTTCCTCCAGTTTTACCTCTTCCAGACATCTTATTCGAAATACTTCTATCTACAACTTCTGAAAGAAATTAGAGGCGCTCTATGGAGTTGCTGCAGTATTTAAGGACTGACTGAAATAGGGCTGTATGGTCCTGCCCGTCGTTATGATTGGATACGCGCAGTAAAGCACGGACCTGATTGGCTGTTGGAGCCAACCATAGAGCGGATGTGTTCTCCTATTGGGAATCTCCAGAGCTTAAATACAACCTTTATTGGCTGTATGTATATATATATATATCAGTGTATTTAAAAACAACCAACAGGTTACTTCAGATACTATACCTCAGTGCCTCAGTTTAACAATGTGATGGCACCAATTTTTCTCTCAGCTTCTGGTTCGTACACAAGACACGGACATTTGTACTGTTTTGACTGCCATCGTCTCCTCAGGCACAGGATTCTGGAAGAGAATTTATGCTGATAGTCTTCCACTTCTAATGATGGCAGGCTACCTTCTTTATCTATGAACCACTTGAAAATGAGGAGACAAATGGCAACCTTTTACATCTGGCCATGATTTTAATCACGAATTGAGTATATTTTATCTTTATGTACCTCACAAAATATGGCTTTAAAAAAAAAATGTAACAGCATATCCTCAGTCTTAAAACTATGATGCCTTTTATCAATGCAGATATTAATTAACCAGAATGAGTCCAAAGTTTCTAACAAAATGGATAATCTAAAAAAAAAAAAATGTTGGTTATAAAGTTTTATATTTAGAATATATATATATATACACACACACACTATATGGTTTGAATACCACAATGTGCCTTTTAAACCTGATTAAATTACCCAACTTGTTTGACCTGCAATGTTTATTTCTACAATTACAATCATTAAAAGTATTAAAACCCACCGTTGTTCACCTTTTTACCCCCTTGATCACGCGGAATAAAGTTACCGGTTTATATCAGAACAAAACAGAAAACTTAAAAATGTAAGTTTAATAAGTATAAAGGCTCAATACAGACTAACTTTAGACAATTCAGACACATGGAATTTGCTCTCTTCAGAATAAATGAGTGGCCCTTAAAAGGGCCTTTAGGTGCATTAACTCAGTTCAGCATCGCTCTCAATACTCCTGTGACTGGGAAGATCCCTTCTTTCCCGATTTACCGGAGCTCTGAACAGCTTGGCCAGTTTTCTTGGGCAGGAGCACGGCCTGGATGTTGGGCAGAACACCACCCTGGGCGATGGTCACTCCGCCGAGCAGTTTGTTCAGCTCCTCGTCGTTACGGACGGCCAGCTGAAGATGGCGAGGGATGATGCGGGACTTCTTGTTGTCTCTCGCAGCGTTTCCCGCCAACTCGAGGATCTCAGCGGTGAGGTACTCGAGAACGGCAGCCAGGTACACAGGAGCACCAGCACCTACTCTCTCTGCATAGTTGCCTTTACGCAGGAGACGATGCACACGGCCGACGGGGAACTGAAGACCTGCACGGGAGCTGCGAGTCTTAGCTTTAGCGCGGGCTTTTCCTCCAGTTTTACCTCTTCCAGACATCTTATTCGAAATACTTCTATCTACAACTTCTGAAAGAAATTAGAGGCGCTCTATGGAGTTGCTGCAGTATTTAAGGACTGACTGAAATAGGGCTGTATGGTCCTGCCCGTCGTTATGATTGGATACGCGCAGTAAAGCACGGACCTGATTGGCTGTTGGAGCCAACCATAGAGCGGATGTGTTCTCCTATTGGCTTGAACTTGTAGTGCATAAACAGCGCAAGCTAACGAACCAATCCGAGTGCATCTAAATGTGAGCGAGCTGATTGATTCGTATGCGAGGCGAGGCCAGTGGTCTTTTGCTATGTCAGTCAAATTTGGGCGGTAAATTCAAACCAGTTGAACATATTCCTTCTGAATTTTAACAGTTTGTCGTAAAATCATGAACAAATGATTGATTTGTGTTAAACCCTCCCCCCATTTTTTTTGTTTACGGTGATATGTAACATGTTATATATAACATACATTTTAGATTACTTAATTCACTTTGTTTAAAGAAATACATCTTTGTAGTTTTAATCACAGCAACACTTTTTCAACTTGCCAGATTCTTTTCTCCGTTTCAAGTCATATAACGTTAGTTAGAACCATAGACTGTATAAAAACAGGTTAGAACATTTTGAAGGGAAAAAGAAAATGAAGAGGAATGGATTTTCAAAAATAATTTATTTAGAATAAATTAAACATCAAATGAACCACAATAATATAAAGCTCCGAATACCTCAGAAGGTCCACTGCCTTCGTTTTAGATAGTTCGCTGTTGTCTTAACATTCTGGTCATATAACATTTTCAGGCTTTATGCTCCAGGACTCACTAAACTATAGCAAACAAGCGCTTTGTCATTGATTCATGAACTGCGAGTCATCGTTTTATCGGTTAAATGTTTTCCTGTATTAATTAGATTCGGTTTATTTGACCACCAATTGTCTTTTTTCCAGAGTTCTGATTATTTCAAACATATGATAGATATAACCATTAACCCAGGGGTGTCAAACTCAGCTCCTGGAGGGCCGGAGCCCTGCAGAGTTTAGATGCAACCCTAATTAAACACACCTGATCCAGCTAATCAAGTCATTTAGGCTTATTTGAAAACTACATGGTTTGAGTGTTGGAGCAGGGTTGGAACTAGGAACTGAGTTTGACACCCCTGCATTAACCAAATGCTGAAACAGTCACTGATCATATAGGGCAGGGATCCTCAAATCTGGCCCACGAGATCCACTTTCCTGCAGAGTTTAGCTCTAACCCTAATCAAACACACCTGAGCATACTAATCAATGTCTTCAGCATCATTGAAAAATCACAGTTAGGTGAGTTTGATCAGGGTTGGAGCTAAACTCTGCAGCGCGTTGGCCCTCCAGGGCAAGATTTGAGGAACCCTGATATAGGGGGATACGGCAAGAGAGATTTCTTAAAGCGATAGTTCACACAAAATGAGATTAGTGTTCATTCACAAACCTCTATGACTTTATGACAACAAGAGAAAAAAGACAAAAAGAGATTTTATGCAGATACACAGCATCTATGATCCATACAAACGAGGGGGGGGGGAGGGGATAACGTGATTAAACTTATTTTCACCTTTTCATTATATCCCCTGAGGTTTGTTTTCGCGTGGACCCTGAAAATAGCACTATTCTCCACTGCAGATTCAGCATGATTTACAATAATTTGTGGTATAATTTATAAATATAAACAAATACTTTTTTTTCTGTAGTGTATCCCTTGAAGGGCTTACACTTTACAACCAAAACACGAACGTAATTTAGTGAGATATGCCTACAGTACCCTTAAGAACCCTTCCGTTTTCTTAAACAAATAAACATCATTATAAAAGATTATTAAGCCACAATGAAAGTCAAACGTACCACTATTTAAAAACCGGGCATAATATCCCTTGATCTAAATGCTATAGCAACAGCAAAACGAGAACAAAGCTCACAGCATGTCTTAGCATATCACACTCTGGAAATACTCCCCATGAGCTCAGGAGAAATAAATCAGTGCCGATAACAGTAAACGATACACAAACATGATAGAAAAAGGGATCCCCAGCATTGTAAACAATCAGATTAAGATCCAAAGTGCAACTGATAAAATTAAATAAATGAGAAAAACAACACAGCGACAGTGATGGAGTCATCAATAGTCATTGGTCTATGTCGCCCTCTGGTGCTCAATAACCGCATGACAAGACCGTTTTGAGTTTCTCAAGTTTGTTCGCTCATAATTATCCACAAAAGCAGCTGTTTATCCGTTATATCAAATTAATTAGGTTCGCAATGCATCCATAAATAGTCAAATCCTTTTATTTTCCACGTTTGGCGTTTTCTAATCTGAAAAGCTTAATCACAGATGAATGATGAGGTTCCAGTCAGAAAAAAACAAAACAAAACAAGGCTGGCTTCCTGGGTACAATGTGGTCTGAAGTATTATGTTACCCCAACTAGGTTGAAGACAATCGGTATATAACATAAATAACTAGTTCTGGAGCAATTTGGAGCCAATTCCACACTCATTTGACTGGTGCCCGCACCGTGTCTCTCTTACTCGCCCTTCCTCTCTATTTCTCCTTTAGTTATCTGTAGTGCTGGATCCTCCATTGGCTGTGCTGGATTTGCCCTTTGTCTTGGACGAGCGGAACGAAAAGTGTTTGATGAGGCGGTGAGAGAAGCTTCCAGACTTTTTACGGCTGGTGGAGGAGCAGGGGGCTGTGGGGGAGTCATTGCCCAGGTTTGAGACGTCCTCGTGGGACTGACTGAAACTGGGTTCTTTCTCCCTGTGTTTCCTGCGGAATAGAAGCTTGGTGCCACTGCGGAGGAATCCCACTAAAACAGAACATTCATGCACATAAATGAAACCATAAAAAGACATTTTATGATGAATCCATCAAAAATACATTCCAAAGAAGTTCACACCTTTGTGGTCTTTGAGGCTACGCGTCTCCAGTGCTCCGGTCGATCCTGTCTCTGACTCCACGTCATCCACGGATGGTCGCTCTGACACGTCAGGAGGAGTCATTGCCCAGGTTAGAGACGTCCTCGTGGGATTGACTGAAACTGGGGTCTTTCTCTCTGCGTTTCCTGCGGAACAGTAGCTTGGTGCCACTGCGGAGGAATCCCACTGAAACAGAACAATCATGCACATAAAAACAAATCATAAATAGAACTTTTATGATAAATACATCAAAAATACATTACAAAGAAATTCACACCTTTGTGGTCTTTGAGGCTACGCGTCTCCAGTGCTCCGGTCGATCCTGTCTCTGACTCCACGTCATCCACGGATGGTCGCTCTGACACGTCAGATGGCGTAGTCTCGTCTGCTTCCTGATGTGCGGATGCTCCGTGGTGGTTCGGGGCTCCGCTGGGAGAATGCGCCCCCTGTAGGGCTGCATCCATTGCTGCAGCGTAGCCCACTGATAAGGCTGAGTCATCTTCAGTAATGGGGACCTGTGGGAAGGACAGAAAATTTGTTTTATAACACAGTGTTCCTCATGTACATGTCATTCTCCCTGATGAGTGTTACATCAAAATTATGTGACGGAAAGAGAAGACTTAACAAATTACCCTGGGGGAAGGGCTAAAGAGACTGTTCTCGTGATCATTTCCCTAGACGCTTGCCTCATTGTAACCAAGATATTTTTATGACATTGATTAGAAATGTCTGATTACTTGATATTCAGACTCTGACCTTTGACACCCCAGATATGATGAGAGTGCTGCGTTTAGTAGGTGTCTTCTTAGGTACCTTACTGGCCGACTCGGTTAGCTGCCGAATGGCCGTTTCTGCTACGGGATCCAGCCCATTAGGGAGGGTGCCTTCTGCTTGGAAATAGCACACAGACACAAACACACCAGGATCACAGACTTTCCCGTAATTCATTCAAATTGCACTGCAAAAAAAGTAATATAACAAATATTTACAAAATGTATTTTAATATAAACAAAAATCAGTTTATAAATAATATATTTATAGTTAATACATATACAATATTAGTATAAATTGTTAAAAACAACAATATAAATAATTTATTGTAAATGTGTGGTACTAATTTTGTGAACTTATAACTTTTCATTTAATACACATGTACACATTTCAATTATAAGTGAGTCCACACCACAACTATAACGATAAAGACAAAGAAAAACGATATCGTTGGAATCACTTTCAAGACAATTTTTCTCCAGCTGATGAACGATAAAAAATTGACAGCCAATCAGAATCCATCCTGCTGTAACAAGCTCAAGAATTTAAAGCGGCAGATGAGCGTGCACTTAGAATAAACAGACGATATCGTTCGCTGGTGTGGATGCTAATATCGTTATCTTTATAGTTATCTTTGTAGTTATCGTTCTTGGAGTGAACAGGGCTTAAGTCTGGAGATTAGTAATGTTTTTTTTTAAGACGTCTCTTATGCTTACCAAGGCTGCATTTATTTGATCAAAAAATATTTGATCAGTAAAATTGTGAAATAGTATTACAATTTAAAATAACTGTTTTCTAATTTATTATATTTAAAAATGTAATTTATTCCTGTAATGGCAAAGCAAAATTTTTAGCAGCCATTACTCAGAAATCATTCTAATATGCTGTTTTGGTGCTCAAAAAACTTAGCCATGTTGAAAACAGTTGTGCTGCTTAATTAAATGTATTTAATCTTACTTTTAATCAACTAAATGTGTCCTTGATAAATGAAAATATTCTCTTATTCACAAAAAAAAAATACAAAAACAAATAAATCTTGCTGTCTCCAAACTTTTGGATGGTAGTAGGTATTATCTCAAAATGCTAATGTTAATGTGGAGCTTACTGCTGGGGGTGGGACTGGCACTGGTGCTCTGCAAGCTGTTTGTAAGCACAGTGGGAGTCTTTTCAGTCACCTCCACATTTGAGGGAGACCTAGACGGAGAGTCTCCTGCAGTTATAGAGGAAGAAATAGGATAGGGTGAAACTGACAAGTCACTTCTGTGGTACTAGACAATGCAGACAGAAGAGCATGCGTGTTCTCAGTGTTCCTGAGTGAGGTGGCCTTTACCTAGTTTGCGGTCCAGTTTTAGTCGTGACTGGATGGTGGTTACCGTTGTGACAATGGTGCCATCAGGCATGATTGTGCGGTCCACGTCCACCTTCTTTGAGGGGGTGGCCAAGGATCGCAGTGGAGTGGCATTCTGACATGCACGCAAATCACTGGACTCCAAATACAACAGCTATAGAGGCAGAAACATTAAATCATTAGCTTAAACATAATTCCTGTGCTTCCATTATTTTTTTAAAGAAATCTACTATAGAATTACGGTTGGTACAGACACTGATATCTTTAAAAAAAAAACTGAAAACAATCCCCATATGTACAGTATAATTTTGAGCTGACTTTGCCTATGTGTTCACAAACACAAAGATTATTCAGAGCGTTTAAGTGCGTTCCTATAAGATCATGTCTGTAACAAGAACAGTGTGAACCAGTGCTTAATTTGTAAATGAATAATTGCCAGATCCAAAACAGCAATTAAAAGGCACTGTGACGACAATGACAATACAACTTCAGCTTTCCCGGAAAATTCAATGACGTCACTAAACGGTGATGCCACAACTATAGGAGCATCGTTCACAAGTTTCTGCATGGACCTAACTACAGCCTTGGGCACAGGGTCAAAAATGGGTCGCCAGGATGATCTGAGGAAAATGTAGCAGTATATAAGTTACATTAAAAATAAAATAAAAATAACAATTTGTTTTCATAAAAATAAAATACAATCACAGTCCATATATAAAAGATATAAATATGCGAAATATATCTTACTTAAATAATTAACAGATTCAAAACATATGTTCTGTTGTTATTTTGAGTGTGCAAAAATTAAAGTAAACACTTTGCGGTTTCGAATTATGTCTTACTCTTATCTGTATGACCAAAAATGACGGAGTATTTTATGTTTCAGCTGTTCGATCTCGCCGGCGCGCACACACACACACACCACATATTCTAGCAATACAAACTTAACATCGCAGTCTGTTCATTATCAAAATAAAATAGTTTAAAAAAAAACTAAAAGGTTACACTGGTCAATTTAAATTGTCCATAGTATAATCTGTGCTGTTCAGTGTAAACACCAGTGAATAACTCTCTCCAAATATTCTGCTGCTCACAAAACAATCAGCAGTAGGCACCAATCAGTGAGAGCGATTAAGAACTTAAGGAAGCTGACTGGTCAAAAATATGTTGAGGACCAATACATAACCTCCAAATAAATCTATCTGCGCTCGTTCTGACTCGTATGCACACATGCACTGTCAGGATCTAATGCACTTCTTAATGCCGGATCTTTAAAAAAAAATACCAGAATGCAAAATTCCAAAATCTGACATTTTCTGGAACAGGATCCGACTCAAATTAAGCACTGGTGTGAACTAATAAAGTACTAGGTTAAAGCTGCAGTCCGTAAGTTTTGCCTCTTTGTCGCTATCTCTGTTTGAAAACCTGGAATTGCAGCTGTGTGTGGAATTATCTAGCTTGCGTGGGTTGTGCGGCGGCACGGCTCCAGCGCGGATGAATCTAATGTTCTGAAGAGTATGTGTGGCAGTCAGTCACCGCACCGGTGTGATTACTGTACTTCACAATCACAGATTCTAGCCTACGTCTTGGAATATGACCCAAATAAGAATTTTCACCATATATTGCCATCTAACAAGTAAGTAACAAGTCTGCCACGTTTGTTCTGACCAACTGAGGAAAAAATCCATGTATTTATTACCATAAATCTCGCTACTAATGGTGATTCAATCTAAAGATCGGTTAGCTCATATCACATCAAACCGTTCAAATTATTATTATTGTTATACTTTATTCTCAAATGATTAATGTTAACAACATCAGCATTGGTGACTATGAGTATAGTGTGTATTAGCGTGTAGATTTCAATTTCTCCACAGTCTAATCTAATTGTCATACTCTTCGAATTTGGAACAGGGACTTATCACGAGTGTTCGGAAAAGTGAACACAAGGTTGGCTGAAGCCTTAATCAGCAATACAGACACTCTGAACATTGTATTATCATGGAAGTCATGTATACTTTATATATGTGAATTACTAGTATCTATCTGTCTGTCTCACTGTCATACACTACTGTTTGGGGTAAATATATATTCTTTCAAAATAAACAACTTTTATTTAGCAAGGACACACTAAATTGATCAACACTGACAGTAAAGACATTTAAAATGTTACAAACTATTTCTGTCAAATAATGGTTCTTTTTAACTTTCTATTCATCATCCTGAAAAAAAAAATTATGTTTCCACAAAAATAAGCAGCACAACATTAGTTTTCAACATTAATAAATGTTCCTTGAGAATCAAATCAGAATATAGAATGATTTCTGAAGGGTCGCATGATACTGAAGACTAGGTTAAATTAAGCTTTGCCATTACAGGAATAAATGACATTTTAAAATAGAAAACATTTCTTTTAAATTGCAATAATATTTCCCAATATTACTGTTTATAAAATAAATGTAGCCTTACATGAACGGTAGTGTATATGAAATATATCTGAATTCTATTTTATGCTGTCCTTACTTCTAATGTTACAACTGCAGTTGGAGCCAGACCATGACCCGGTGCGATGGACAGTTTATGTTGTCCATTAGGAATTATTTTAGAGGGATCCAATTGTAAGGAAGCACAACCAGGCAGAAACTCTGTCAAACAGGAAAAAGAAAACAAATTAATCAACGGACCGACAAGTATATCATGCAGTGAATACAAAAGCAGACAGAATGGAGAATATCAGTCTTTAATCATTCACCAGATCATCTGAAATCAATACATTTCTTATAATGCTGGATGAACGATTGAATGATAGGCACTGAAAAGTGACTCACGCTCTCCTTTGCTGTTCTTCTCCACAAGTCTTACTTTGAGTTCTTTGGTTTCTGGTCCTATTTCCCTAATTGATAAAAACAGACTTTGGTTTATCACAAGTAAATAAAGATGCACACACAGTAAACTTTAATTTTGTAATACGGAATATTGGAGATGAAGTGACTTTTTGTATCATTAAAAGACTAAATTGACTTTAACATTTGTAATTGGATTTTAGGTTATAAAACTGCTGTATACCATCAGTATTGTGGTTAGACTAAATGTCCCATTTGATCCCTCAGCAGCAATCTGTATGCTGGCTGTGAGAATTAAATTGGCCATTCTGGTAATTGGCATCACAGGAAATAGTGACGTGTTGGGAATGGCTGTAATTAAATGTGCTAAACAGCTCTTTGTTTCTTCGGGAGTTGGCTGCTGTACATATTCACAGAGCCATTGGTGGAGCTGCTCACAGCTTCACACCTTCATTCATGACAGAAGTGCAGACTTTGAGGAAAACGCTCCATTGTGTCAAACTGAAGTGGGGAAGTTGACCTTTAAATGGAAGGTGTTCGAAAATCCCACTGGATTATCAGTCAAGTCCTGCAGCGCAGAGTTAAATTACTTGTATGAACAAAAATGACCTTGTCTAATCGAACATGACTAATTAAGAAACATTTCCTTGTAACCGTTCCTAGGAGTCAGACATGTCAACACCTCACTTAGAATGATTCAATCCAGTCCATTCATATAGTTTCAGTCTTTGTTGATCTATATCTGCATTTACAATCACATAATGGCAGAATAGTGTGCTTACAGTGTAAAGTCGTCAGTCCAATGCAGGGCTGCTCCAGGACTGGGGGAAGGAGTAAGGAAGCTGGTTCTCCGTTCAATGGAAGGAGTGTCCAGACTCAGCATACAACAAAGCTCTCCTACATGAGTCTGACATCCTGGACAAGAAATCACATAACTTACACCATAAACTGCTCAAATACAGAGTTTCTGTTAATCAAAGAATCCTGAAAAACATTAATAACAATAGGAAATTTTCCTTGACATATTGGGATGATTTTTGAAGTAAAAAAATTGGGGTCAAATGAACACAAACCCAGCCTAATTAAACAAGGCTTCCTTTAATAGTCAACAAGCCATTCAGGCAAATCACAGAGTGGCTGATTATAACTTTATGTATTAAAGTTTTTTAAGAATCATGATAATTTTATACCTTTTTTGACGTTGGTTGCTCTGAGCTGGTGCACCAAAATGCGCCCGACAGGCATGCTTTGAGATGGAGAGTTCAGACCACCGATCTGCTTCTCCCTGGGAAACTATTACAACAGAGAATGTGAATGTATTATAACATGAAAGTCACATATTTAGAGTTTTCCTTCCTCATTCTTGTTGACTTTAATTACATGTCTTGTATGTTTTGTACTGATAAGGGTGTCATACATCCCTGCATGTCATACGTCAAACACTCTCAACCAAAATATACAGTATCCATATGGATCTGTCACACAGGGTTTCTGCAGGTAAATGTAAGACTTTTTAAAGACCTTTTTAAGACAAAGTAAAGAAAACTGAACAAATAAATTGAAGGGAACTTAATATGCCAGCATGTTCTCTAAATGTAAATGTCTGAGAAGCACAGTATTAGCAACACTTCAAAAATACAATTTCTCACCAATCTCCATTCCTTTTTAATTCATTTGACAAAAATAGCTGAATTCTAATGAATTCTTCTGCTCTCAACCTATAGAATATGAAAATACCTTTCTGTACCTTTAATCAAATTGCAAAAAAGTGATGCTATTCCTCAGTATATCTGTCTTGTTTTCCATTGCAAATGTCTAAAAATTCTTAAATCTAGATACATTTACTTGGGAAGCCAAATGACATAAATCTTGTTTTCTGTAAAACTGATAAAAATGGAGTTTATGATTAAAAAGAACAAATATCTGCCAGTGGACCTAGGAAAAACAAGTCTTCATAGCCCATTGACAGATATTTAAGTGAATATTTAATTTGTGAAAGGGTGAATTCAGACCTTTTTAAGACCTACAGAAACCTTGGTCATAATGTTCAGTACAGTTTCAAATGCTGGCCACACTGACCCAGTACACGGTCATAACCCTCACTGTTTGATATAGCAATCGATACTGGTATTTTTACCGCAGGGCTTGATACACAGGCTCTCAGGTTGAGGATCAAGGCAGGGTGTGTTGTGTACAGTGTGTCCTCCACCAGAGCTGCAATCATTTCACTGTCCACCTCCACGTCAGAGGCCTAAAGACAAAAACAAACAAAGATTTCAGTTTATGTGCATAGTTACGTTTTATATAGTTTACAATTTGTAATACGTCACAAGCTGAAAGGAACAAGACCCATGTGACCAAAACTACTCCCTTGCCTCTTTCTGGACTCTTTGGCGTGGTGTTACGGTTAAAGAGAGATGAGGTTGCTTGGAAAAAGTCCAGGACACAAGGAGACCCTCTTCCTCCACTTCCTCAAGACAGACCTGCAACTACAGAAGCCCCATACAGAACATTTGAACTCCTATTTCACACTGAATTTGCAAAAGTAATATATTCATCGATGGCTGCTCCATTTTTTACCACCTAGAGATGAAACATTAAACTATGGCACTACGCATCAAGTGGTGTCGTTTGTTTGAGATGAGTATCGCATGCAATATTCATAGCCACTAAACCTCACAGTCTACATTAAAAAATTGGCAAACTGAGAGGCTCATTCATGTGAGCAGTGGCAGGAGACGTCAGACTAATGAAAGTTGAGTGTGCAGCTATGCAGACTGATGCAAACTTGCAGATGCAAATCCATTTCATTTGTATTTTACCTGGGCCTGCATGGGCTTCATCGTGATCTGGTAGGTATCCATGGAAACGGCTGCAGGTGACTGCTGAGTGACAGTCACGGGGAATGTTACGGTGTCGACTGAACAATTGCACTGCAGGACCTGGAGGAGGTTGAGGGTATGATTGACAAATGCTGACTGAGTTGGACATAACACAGTATCTTCAAAACAATAAATAAATTTAAAAAATCAAATGCTTTGATTATATACAAGCAAAAATATATACTGAATGCAACTTGATAAGATGGACACATTGGCCCTGATTTAAGAGTTTGAGTGTTTAAAAACACATTGATTCAAAAAATATTAGGAGCATGCACATAATGTCTGAGCTGATCTACTCATGTAGTCGGCTGAAGATTGTGTCTGACAAATGAACCAAAAAATAGCTTCTCATGTGCGTGTTTCTCTCAATGGATATGTAATTTGCCTCCATACACATGTAAATATAAAGGGTGTTCTCAATGCAAATATATTAAATATGCCTGAAAATCATTTCAGATATGATAACTGCACGTGCAAATGAATACCACTACAAGGATGTGTGCACTACAACTGCTCTCATTCATTTACACTGAGAGGAGAGAATATGCAGATGAACACAATGATGCTGGATGACTGACACTCCAAAAAAATTGTATATTGTAAAAATTGTTATTCTTGTAATCACTCGAAATTATATGTAGAACACAAAATAACAACTAAATCATATTTATTCCTAAATTCACACAATAAAAATATGACAATTCATATAATTTATATGAAGAATTGTTTTTATTTTAATTTTATTTTTTTTACATGTGCTGTTCAAAAATTTGGGGTCTGTGAGATTTTTAAACGTTTTTGAAAGAAGTCTCAAGGGTGTATTTATTTGATCAAAAATACAGTAAAAACAGTAATATTGTATTATTACAATCAAAATAACGGTTTTCTATATTTTATAAATGTAATACACGTGATAGCAAATCTAATTTCTTAGGATTCAGTTCAAAAGAACAGCATCTTTAATAACATTATAAATGTCTTTTTTCTTTCTTTGCTTGGATATTTGCACATTTACTTTTAGCTAGATTGCGCAAACAAATAAGTAACTTTTATTTGCCGTCTTTTTGGTGCCAAAGTAAAAGCTTTGACTGCTTACCATGCTGCGTACTGATTGGTCAGTGCAAGTCACACAGTCAATGGACGCAGAAGTTGGGAGCTGAAGACCATCATCAAAGGTGATCTGAATGGAGCTCTGAAAAGAAATGGAGATCGTCAGTTAGCTCATCTGCACACAAATAAGTGAAGAAAAGGCATTTCTGGGTGCAATCACTCTTCAAATATGTCTCCTGGGCTAAAAGTCTATTTGCATGTTTATATTAAGTTGCTAGATGATAGTGCATCCATAAATCTTCACAGCTTCAAAACAGAAATCCCAGCCACCTAGGGAAAAAGTAGCTTGATAAACAGGCAAAGGAAGCACTGCAATATCATCTGCTTTACTTTTCCCACAATGCATCGTTTGCAATTATGTAAAGTGCAACTGCAGGAAAAGAAGATGCATAAAAAGACACTTTTAATTAAGAAATTCCATAAATCAATAAGTAAAAGTGGGTGGAAATATAAAACAACTATCATTCCAGCTGAGCTGGGAAAAAAACAGGTTCCTCTATATTTTAACTTCTTAAAGAGTGTGCTTGTGTTTGGGTCATTATGTACTTAATTACAGAGATTATTACAAACAACGTACATTCTGTCTCTCTTCAATCTCACACACACACACACACACACACACATACCTAAGCACAAATATTCACAACTATCTCTAGCCAAAAACATTGGTCAGCGAAAAGCATACTCAGGATATGACATAATTTTGTCCAGGCAAATGTGGCCGACTGCCATGACGACAAGCTGCCTATGTACCTATTTGAGCCAGACTTCCACAGTTCACAAATGGAGATCATGCAACAAACCCTGCATGCCAGGACTCCAGGTAGAAACACACTAATCTAATCTAAGCTTGTAAAACACCCTAATAAAGATCATGGTGTGAACAATGGCCTCTGATCACACTAAAAGGAAACCTCTGCAAGTGACAGGATATTGCAGCAAGGCAGAAACCTTGGCCAAGTGTGACTGGTAAGAGAGGAGTGTGGTAATGGAAATGAATGAGCATGAGCATAACCACAACACTGTGAGGAGAACACTGACTAATGCTGCTGTGGCTGTTGCTGTCACTGATGGACATAACTTGGAAAACCACTGCTGTAGCTTTCTTCTTAAATGACTACATGTGTTGTGAGACAAGATGAGGGTGTGTAAATAATTATGTTTTTCATCATCACAATTGACACGACTGATGCTCTGACTAGATGATGCCATAATGAATCTGTCACATCAAGAGGATATATAATTGAGGCTGAAGATGACGAGCCTGATGCATGAGAGAAATGTCATCCAGAGGCTGAAGTAAACATGAGGCTTATACTCTACAATCACATCTTGGAGTACCATTTAAAGGTGCTGTATGTAAGTTTTTGACTCTACTAAAGCATAAAAATATCATAATATGTTTGCAGGTATTTAAGAAACATGCTAAGTTAACATACTTGTTTATCTGAAAAACAATGCTACAGTCAGTTATTCTCCTTTGAAAATGTGAGTTCCGGGCCGGAATGTCGAGAAGGGTGTAACTGCAGCCTGGAGATCTCCAAATGGGGGCGGGAACTCAAAAACGGGGTGGGAGCTCCAAAATAGGGCGTGGCTTCCTCCCATTGGCAGACAGGCACATGACACGCATGCGCACTTTTTCCTCCAATCCACTTCAGTGCAAACTCCGCCCCACAGCTGAATCTAAAGATTTTATTGGTTGTGTCAATTAAAGTGTTGATTTCCTACACTATGCCACAAACAATGCTAACTCCTAAACCTACCCCACACCTGACCCTAACCTTAACCAGTGAAATTGACTGCACTGCGGGATTGGCGCTGAATAGATTGGTAAAGAAAGATGCCGTTCAGGAGATAAACAGTTAATAAGATTATGCGATATGAGATCGTTCTGTAACTCCCCAACCGGACCTCACCGGACAATGGCACCTTTTTAGTTACACCCACTGTCACTACCCACTCCTTCCCTGCGAATTTCAAGCCCCGGGATGCCCCCCTTGCTTAGAACAAAGCGATAGAGTAAAATCTTTCCCCGGCGCTACGCTGGGACGGCTGGCGGGAGAGCTCGTGGGGGATTCCTGTTTATATCATTAAGCAGAGGTTCAAACTCCAGTCCGAACACCACTGGCCACGTGCTTTGGGCTCTGCTCTCACAAAGACGATTTACTTATATAACATATTTGATTTTAGATGAACTAGAAACAATGTTTAATTTATAAAGTTTTATTTTGAAATGTAAGTCAATAACAATTGGCTGGAGCCAGAGCCAACGGTGAAAGTCTTTGCGCTAGGAGACCCCACCCCATTTTGGAGGTTCTGCCCACTTTTGGAGTTCACGCCCCATTTTGGAGATCTCCGGTCTGCAGTTATATCTACTTGGGAATGTCGGTCTCTGTTTTGGTCTGTGTAACCCGCCCACTGCCAGTTTACCCAATTGTATTTAGGCACACCGTTTTGTCAGTTGGCGGAAAACACAGTGTATTTCATTTCATTCATCGTCAAGTGCGCTCGTTCCTGTTGGTGTCGTCAATCTGGCAACCTGCGTGTGCGTCAAGTCTGAGGAGGAGGGGCTGGGTGAAAAAAACCCTCTCCAATATTTTGAATTTGAACCTTCCAACAACTCCATAAATATTTATTTAAAATCTTGTTTTAGCAAAACCGTTAGCAAAGAGGCTGTAAAGTCGTACTGGTTAGTAATTGAGATTTCCTGTTTAGTGTGATGAACTTTTAATATCCATGACAAACTCTGCAGTAGTCCAATTTAACAACTTGTTAGTAATCACCTATTTATGGAATAAAACGTGAAAATATTTTTGAGCTTGTTAACAAAACTTATTTCAGACATTTAGCCAAAATCCCATTCAAAAAAACCAACTGACTTCAGGACTATAGAACGGAAAGTAAAAAAAATGCTCATTTCCAATTCTTAGTACTCATTCCTGCAGTACACTATTAGAAGTGTAACTGAAGGACTGTAGTAATTTGTGTAAAAATTAATAATCAATAATTTTTGCACAGTAAACATTGAAAATCTGTGATTAGGTTATCATTTTTTTTTTACTTATTAAACATTTAATATATACATTTATATGATGGATTTTCATATTTATGATATGGATTTGGGACAGAGTAAAACAAGCTATACATAAACAGCATGTTAAAAGCAGTTATAAAAATAAAGAATGAAGGCATGGGTAAATGGTTCTAAGGCAATTTAAATGTGCCCTCTATTTAAAAATAAAAATAAAATAAAAATCTGTTAGTTTGAATGAACACATGGAAATTGAAAGCATAAAATAATGGCGGATTTAGCTTTTATTCATGAATGAAAGATGGATGGATTTTGTCCGACAACATACCAAACTCTTGGTATGTAACAGTTGTGTAACTACTTGTCTTTAGGCCATTAATGTGAAAGTATATTCTCATAGGGGCAAATCGCTTGATTTAAAGGGTTACAATTCATTTCAATGCAAAATGAATAAGAAGTGAATACTCACAGAGAGTTAAGACAAATGTAAATCTCAGAGAGTAAGAATTTAAGTACCTCAGAGCTATGAAATTAGAGGAGCTTGGTATAACTGACTTAGGTTTTCTCTCTCTCTCTTTGTAGCTCAACCAATGGGACGAGAGGACATTTTTGACTGGGTAGCATTTACTGGCTCAGCCCCTGAGCTCTTGGAGAGGAGGAGGAGAAAACACAAATCCCCTACCATACTGGCATATGTTTTTTATTTCATACACCGCTCTTCATCCTACACAGATACACAAGCATGACGATGTGTATGTTAGTGTGTTCACAGGCAACACTTGGTCATTTGTGTACATGATTTACAGAAAGGTTTAACTCTTGATAAAAGAGACACCTTACTTCAGTTGCATGATGTTGTTTGACATAACATTCAATATAACTGTTATCTATAACAACTACTATTATTTCAATATAGTCTTATTTATGATGATTTTCCCTAATATTGCATGCTTAAATGTCAGTCACCATGATTAGTTTTTATGGAGTGTGATACACTGAGAAGAACAACAAAAGCAATCCGACTCAAACGTGTGTTGATGTAGAAGCTGATGGGTTTACATTACTACATGTCCTTCTAATTCTCTCCTCAGCAAAGAATCACCACAATACGTGTCATTTGCATACAGAGACAAATCCTTGTCATTTACATCACACATTTGCATGATCATCTGTGCTCTTCCACAACATAATGAGGTGATCCACACGTTTGACACTGGCTATTACCCACTACAAACAGACGTGCACTGAGACCAGGGAGGGCCTGAATAAGAACATTAGCACTCTGTTAAGTTGAGGATACTTTCTTTTGCACATCAAATCTCCAAAATAGTGTTGAGGTTTTGATTTATTTTTACATAACTGCAAGAGCACTGAAAATTTAGTTTCTAGGGGAAAATACTGCACATACAACTACAGCACTTGTTCTGTCCTCTGCATCAGCAGTTTGTTCAGGTTCCATCAGTGAAATCAGCATTCATAAAGAAAAAAAAAAACAAGACCCATCCACCCCCATAGGGCACAGTCAAGCATTTTAAAGCATTTCCAAATCACCACACATTCCACTTTAGCCACGTCAGTTTGCATTTTCAACACAAGTCAAACTTATAAAGATCATGCAGAATGCATGTTTGAGACAACAGACAAGACAAATAACTGATATGCAGGAAATTACATGTGTGCATTAACTGTGTTCAGGGGTGCAACTCTGGTCTGACAGGTCAGAGTGTTGGGCAATGCTTGATTTTATCTAGAAAATGATTGAAAAAAAAAAAAGGACAAGGTGTTTTTTTCACCTTGAGTATGAGCTCCATTTTTTCCCTGTATAATAATATTATTGGCCATAAAATATGACGTATCATATAAGATACTAAACAAATACATATACAAACTTTTTTGCTTTAAAATATGTTGTCTAAAGGTTAAATAAACTGCGCTATTATAAAAAAAATTAGATTTTTCTATTATTATTTCATATGTCAGGCTTTACAGGGTTAGATACATATTTACAGCATAGTTGTGTTACTGTAAATAATTAATAATCTGTAATTAAT